TAGCTCTGGCCGGTCCATGGGAGGCGCCACTTACGTGCTAAAGGGGGAAGGCTATGATGTGAGGTGACTTGGCGCCGATGTGAAGGGTCTCTTGTATGCCGATGATGTAGGCACCTGTGTGCCAGTGATGATAGCAACTAGTTGGATCGGAACACACCCATGCACTATGGGCAACAGGATAGCTCATTCAGCTTAGGCAAGGGACTGGTGTGGTGAAGGGTCATACTTGAGCCAGACCCGCATGCTAAGCCTCTCTTGTGTGTCGGTAGCGTAGTGCCTATCCATGCACTATCCCCATGAGCATGTGCGCGCCCATGAGGAACCCTGGTAGCCATGCTAGCCATTAACCAAGGCTACTCCGCAAGGGATGAAGGTCTAGGAGTGCCAAGGTTAGGCACCCAAGGAGGTCGATCACCCCTCCTCAAAGAGTATGTTAAGCTTTTGGAGGTCTGCCTGAAGATAACATCACTTTTCCCAAAAATCTTACAGGAAAAATGACGGTGGTGTCCCTTAACGTAAGCCTGCCAAGCATAGGCAAGGCTTAGCCTGTGTCAGACCATGACAGGCTCCCCCACTTAATCCATTGTCGTCCTCGACAATGGCTCTTCCTGTGAATGGGCAACTGTGTTCTGCACCATCCACTTCTATGCTAGTTCCTGAGCTCACCTACCCGGGTCTTGCCTATGTTGGTATCCATTTATGGGGATGGTACCATTTCACCATGCCTGCCTGCCTGGACTTCACCCCCTGTGTTGAGGTTACTCAAACCACGCAATGTCTATGCCGTTGAAATGTATGAGAAAGGCCCTCGAAGAAATTGGATGTGTGTGCTTCGCGGAGGTCCGCCCCATGTATCAACTTTACCTCAAGGCTCGATCGTCTTCTTGGTAGATTTTTGGTGGTGCTACCGAATACGATGTGATAGGTCTATTCCTGCTATTGGTGTGTGTCCTGGGTGTACCCTTTCACCATGCTGGCCTGCGAACTTCACATCGCCGTGTACGGGTTACTCAAACCTAGTCATGGCTTATGCTCTATTGGCCCTTGAAACTACACTTCACCTCGCCGGTTCAGGTTATATCTTCGCTCCGAGGGGGGCCCAATGTGCTACTACCTCAAGGAGATCTGACCGCAATGTGTACGAGTGTGGCAACTTTTACCCATGATGTTGCCGAACATGCACTCACGTTGTGATGTGTTGTTGTTGTTGCGAATGTTCCGCCTTGTTGTTAAGCTGAGCATGTCCTCCGATGCATTGCTGGTGTAGGGCCGCCATGCTCCAACAGCTAGTGTTCCAACAATCCTATCATTCCAATATTGTGGCTTCAACCGAGGACCCATGATGCAAAGTTACCACCTCAGTGATATTCCTTGACCAAACATCGACACAAACCAATTCGGACTGTTGTCCTTGCCTTAGTAGTGCCTTTAACAAGCTACGGAACAATGGCTCATCCGTCATGAAACCAAGATGTAGGCGCACCGCCTACAACTCACTAAAATGAACAACAACTGTTATCCATGAGGAAGCATGGCACTCCCCCACTCAAACCACCACAATATGCCTTCCATGAAAAGGCTCATGCGTCTGCCTCCGCATGAGCACAACAACCAATGCGTTTGCCCCCACAAGGGTGTTGTTTTTGGGGTCATTGGAATGGGGACACGAATGAATGGCCTCTTGCCAGGCCTGATGTGAAGATGCTTGCTTGTGCCAAAGTGGAAGTGCCTAGGGACCGCACCCCACGATGTGTTGCTTGTCGAGATTATCACTTCAATTGGCTCTGTGTGCATCTGCTCTGATACCAACTGTCACGGGGGTAGTTCTACAGTGGAAGAAACCCGTGTGGCGTCCAGGCCAAGGCAGGCCAGGACAAGCCTGATGTATGCTTAGGGCTAGGAGTTGCCCGAGGAGATGGCTCCACCAAGGTCAGTAGCACTAGATCATGACCTCAAGTCGCAAGGCCGGGGCTCTCGGATGGCTCTGGTCGATCAATGGGAGGCGCCACTTACGTGCTAAAGGGGGAAGGCCATGATGTGAGGCGACTTGGTGCCGATGTGAAGGGTCTCCTGTATGTCGATGATGTAGGCACCTCTGTGCCAATGATGATAGGCAACCGCTTGCGTCGGAACACACCCGTGTGCTATGGGCAAGGGGATAGCTCATTTAGCTTGGGCAAGGGGCTGACATGGTGAAGGGTCATACTTGAGCCAGGCCCGCATGCCAAGCCTCCCTTGAGTGTCGGTAGCGCAGTGCCGGTCCATGCATTGTCCCCATGAGCATGTGTGCGCCCATGGGGAACCCTGGTAGCCCTGCTAGCGATTTACCAGGGCTGCCCCGCAAGGGATGAAGGTCTAGGAATGCCAAGGTTAGGCACCCAAGGAGGTCAACCACCCCTCCTCAAATAGTACGTTAAGCTTTTGGAGGTCTGCCTGAAGATAACATCACTTTTCCCAAAAATCTTATAGACAAAAATGACGGTGGTGTCCCTTAACGTAAGCCTGCCAAACGTAGGCAAGGCTAAGCCTGTGTCAAACCATGAGAATGTGGCATTTAAACATATTTAATGACATATGTACTATATAGTATCATTTTAGATGCCACATGGCATGTGAACATAATTAATGATAAATGCATGCCACATGGCACTTATCCATGCCATCATGTGACATGCAATATCATTAACTTACCTTCAACTGCCATCTGGCATTCATATATCATTGACCCCAAATTCAAATGCCATATGACATGCGTATATTTTACCATGTAGCATCTATATGTCATTGGCCTCACATTCAAATGCTATATAGTATCTATATATGCTAAAACATGTTATTTCAACATAATTAATGACAAATGTTATGCCATATGGCATGCAATATTATTGACTTACTTTTAAATGCTACATGACATACATATATAATATCATATGACAATTACAAAGCATTGGCCCTATATTCAAATGTTGTATGACATTGACTAACATTCAAATGTTATGTAACATCTATATATAATGCTATGTGACATGCGTGCATATGCAACATTTTATTTTATTGTATATAAATACCATAATTTACTTTTACATTAAAAAAATATGTTTTAAAAAATTTAGTACAAATAATTTTTAAAAGGGAAATTATCCAAAACCCACCATCACTTTTTATGAATTCTCTTAAACTCATCATAACTTTTCAAAACGTCCAAAACTCGCCATGTCAGTGAGATTTTATTTTTTAAAACTCACCATCTCTTAGAATACCATTAAAGTTCAATGACCCAATTTGTCCACATCAACCTAAATGCATGTTTCATGACTAAACTGCCTTGAATGGTGAGTAGACCTGTTAAACATTTGTTTTGACCAAAATGCCCTTAAGCCCCCAATCCTCTCTTACTTGCATGGATCTATCAGAATCTACAAAAGAGACTGGTATGAAGTCGAACACAATTTTTCATTCTCAGTCGGGGAAGAGATTGGTGTAGAACCAGATGACCTTCTCGATTCTCAAGAACCCTTAGAAACCTAGAAATTTGCTACACATCCTTATTTGTCCTCCCCTGATTTAGCTCCTCTTGATGTTGATCCATCTCTTCCTCCTTACAATCCCAAAACCAATTATTCCCCAAGACCTCATTTCCTTCATTATAGACCTAATCCTCAGGTTGAGGTTTACTTGAAAAAAGAAAGAGGGATGGAACAGAGTGAAGGTAAGCGACTCGATGACGAGTTCACCTATTAAAGCTGACCAGATAATGAAAATGCCAAAGAATCCCAATCTACAAATTCGCAAAAGGAATATGATGATTCTTCTTTACAGATGGTACTCGATCCACGGTTTGGCCATCAACCACAACACTTGCATTGAAGTTATCAAAAACAATTGGAACATAGTCCTACCAAGAGAAGGAAAAAGTTACATAGAGACAAAGGGACGAGGAGATGAAAACTGAAAAGAGAAGAGAAGCAAAAACAAGCCAATATAGTAAGGAAGGTGTTGCTAGTGTAAGAGATGAGAAGGCAAGTCTTCCTAATGGCTCCATCTCCGATTGTAACACACTTGATAATCTTGGAGGTGCTCATTTCATGATCAAGCACAAGCAAGCAAGCCCAGAACCCCAATTGAAAAAGCACTATTGACAAGTTCAATTTCTTGCCACTAGGTGCCGACTCCCCTATTTGAAGCGAAGGAAACCCGTTTACCCTTTTGAGGATTCCCTCCTTCGGTCCTTCCTCTGGAATCTAGAGTCTCTGTGAAACAGATAGAGTTTTAGCTTTGCTTTGAGCCTTCGAGCCTTTTTAGGGAAGGTTATGTGATGACTTTTTCTGAGTTGTCAAAGTGGCAAAGGAGGAAAGCGGAACCCGGAGACGTTGGAATGATTGTCTATCTTTGCACCTACCTTTGATTTTGAGAGCAAGAACACTCTAGGTTGATAGCAAGAAAGACTCTCAATGAGGATCATTGATGGGAGATGCATCATGTTCTTCAAGTTCTCATACGAAGGGAGAAGTTGCGGCCGATGGAGGAAGAAAGTAGTGGCCAATGCTTTCTCATTGCTAGGGTTTTGGGTTGAAGAATGACAGGATAATTTTGGTATATTGCAAAATGGATTGAATATAATGAAGGGTAAAATAGTAAATTAATGATGCCCGTTAGTCAATTTACAGATATAATGACTTTTAAACGTTTTGAAAAGTTATGGTGAATTTAAGAGAATTGATAAGAAGTGAGGATGGATCTTGGACAATTACCTTTTTAAAAGTATTCCACGTATTTTATTTATACCGTGGTACTATTAAAAATATAAAGTAAAAATTACCACCAAACACAATTTTACATAAAAGTATAAAATACCCAAATACAAATAAGACAAACACATGGAAAAGGGAGGGAAGAAAAAGATTCCTCTGTTTTGCATCTTCCCTCCAAAACCACAACAAATACAACAATTTAGATACTTATTATATCAAAGTTTTTGAACCAAATGATAATACTTTACATGTCAGAATGAATCCCCCCATCGAGCGATCACTGCAATAGAATCTGTTAAATTCGTGATGACCAGCCCAGAATGCGCAACTTTGCCTTGGGGCCGGCTTGGGCTTCGGGGGCAGAGCTGTGGTTTGATTATTTGTTGTTTCACAAGGAAACCGGAAAAGCAAATTCTGATTTCTGTGAGAAGCTGAATCAGTCCTGAATCCCTGGTTGCAGAAAATCAGAATCATATTACAATATCAATCATCTTTGCTTTGCCCCGCCAAAAAAGGGATCCCCGGTGATACTTCTAATGAATCAAATCATCTTTTGAATATATGGATGGACAGTTGTCAGTTGCGCACTCTCCATCATCTTTCGTCTTCTCGCCGTTATGTAAGGCTCCCATTTCATTTCTCCCGCCAATGTTCACAACTTCATAACACCAAAACTATTCTTTCTCTGATTCTGCAATCCAACATTCCAACTAGCTGTTCTAGGGTTACAGAAAGAAAGAAATGGCAGAGACCCAGTTTCCCAGGGGAGCGCTAATTGAAGTTTGCTGCGATGACGATGGCTTTAGGGGAGCGTGGTTTGAGGCAACAGTACTCCGGTCAGTGACGAGGAGACAGAACAAACCACAGCTCTACATCGAGTATTCTCACCTAGTGCAGGAGCAAGACCAATCAAAGCCATTAAAAGAATTTGTCAATGTCGTCAATGCGAGACCTCGACCTCCACGAGATATCGATCCGACCTTCAAACTTAGTGAGGAGGTCGACGCGTTTCACAACGACGCTTGGTGGGAAGGCATCGTCACCCAGGTTCTTGATAATTCCAGATATTCGGTGTTCTTCAGGGGCACGAAGGAGCAGATCGAATTCGGGAAGAATGATCTCCGTCGTCATCGTGAATGGATCGATGGGAGCTGGAATCCCCCCAAAGAAGTGCAGGTACTGACGTTTAAGAGCTTTTCTTTGTTTAAGGAGGTCTTTTCGGCTTTCTTTGCTTTCTTTTCGTTTCCTTTTTCTTCTTCTGTTTTTAATTTAATGAACCTTTCTTCTCTCTGTATTTCCTTTTTTCTAGTTTCGGTTCTTAGTTCCGATTTTTGGACTACTACTGTTATATTTTTGCTAGATAATTGTTAATTCAATCGGTATGCAACCCTGTGCTATGGAAAATGATATGGGTTTGTAATCTCTTGAGTATTTGCAAAATGCAAGTGTTTGGTATTTACTTGCCTGGTTTTGTTGCAAGTGGCTAAATTGCAGAGTTTGGAAGCAAATGTAACTGCCTATTTCCTCTGCTTATATATATAATTAAACAAGAAGATTAAACGACTGAACTTAGTAAGAGACAAGAGCGTCGGTTTCTCACTTTCTTTGTTTCATTTCTTGGTTGTTGTTTGTGGGCTCTGAATCTCCTAGTCAATATATGCTAAAATACTTCATTGATTGAACCTAAAATATCCAAACTAGATGTGAACAAGAACTAGCAGCCGAGCTACTTGTTGCATTAAAACTTGAACAAAATATCATAAAAAAAAAGAAGAAGAAAATTTCAACGCATCAAGAAACAACTATAATTATCACCTTTTGCTTGGTTACTTTTGCACGCGACATTTACATGTATATGGCTGTGGTAGCTGGTTGAAAAGGCACTCTGAAAGGTCTTGTGCAAGATTACTAAAACTGATTATTTTTACAACGGTTCTCTTCCAATAGCTCTTCTGCAAAACTGCCTGGGATAACTTTTACATCTTTGCCAGGTTGGCATCCTGAATTACGCCCACTGGTCTCTTTACATTGAAAAATTTGTGCGGTCAAGTGGAAGGCTATTCCTTTTGTGTTTACCATCAGACAACTTCAGGGAAAGGTTCCTGTTTTTTGGTTTTTCTTAGAATTCAAGGACATTCCTGTTTTGTTTTCCATCCTTTACAAGGATCCTAGGTTTTTTTTTTTTTTTTTTTTTTTAATCCAGAAAAGTTCCTATGAGTGAATCCTTTCACATCCTTACCTCTTTTGGTAAGTGAAGCCAGGCAGCCAGAAATTAAAAAAAAAAGAATTGCCGAAATTGTCTTGTACAGTAGAGTTTTAGGATCTCAGGTTACAAGTCCCCCCATGGTGTGGTAATTCCATAATTCCATTAATGACTCTTGTCCTCAGTGTCTAGATTTTTTTTTAACTTTTTTGATCAGTAAATGATAGAGGGAAACTACCCTCTGTGTCTTGATAAGACTGAATTGGTTGAACACCTATTTGTCAAATGCTCATTTGCCAAGGATTTTTCCTTTTGAGTTTGGATCATTTCTTGCCATTGACATTGACGCTTTTGAGGACTGCTCTTTCCATGACGGGGGTTTATAATGGAGAAGTTCTGAATTTGTCTCAGCAGAAGATAATACAAAGGCTCTTACAAGAATTGCCTCAACTTGTTGGCACTTATATATGGATGGCTCAGAACTTCATCTTTCAGGAGGAAAAATCTAGTCCACCACAAGTTATTTCAACTATATTCAAAGACTATTTAATGGATTGAAGCAAACAAGCAGCAGCAGTTGTTAGAATACACGAATCAGGGGTATTTTGGTCTTTTTGGTTTATCTGTTTGAGAGTGAAAGGTCTATTTTATTTAAGTCTAAGTTATGTGTCCCATCTTTCATGAGGGACAATATAGTCTTTCTTGTAACTCTATTATTTGAAATAAATACAAGTGGGTCGGCTAGGGAGGATTGATTTTTCTCCTTCCTAATCTGGCCGAACTCTTCTTCTCTTCTCTTCTTCTTCTTCTTCTTTTTCTTCTTCTTCTTCTTCTTCTTTCTTTTCTTCTTCTCTACTTTAACCTATAATTGAATAGGGTTTTCTTACATGGTATCAGAGCAGTAAAACCTTGTTCTCCTTTCATTCTTCCTTGCTGCTGTCTTCTTCCTGGGTTCACCGCCAACTATTTCAGCTTTCTTCAAATTTCTGCTAGCCTGAGTGGAAGCTCGACAAGGAGCCAGAAAGGAGTCGTCGTTTTGTGGTTTTGGAGGTGAGTATGCCTCCAGTTACTGTGGTGGTGGTCGTTGAAGTGGTGTGCTAGATGCCCTCTATTCTGTGATGTGAAGAGGGCTGTTTGTGGACAGGTATGAACAGTGCTGTCTTTTGCCCAAGTAGTGGACTGTGAATGCTGTGTTTTGGTTCAAAATTTTTCCTTGTGGAGGTTTGGAGTGACTAGTATACATATCAGTCCTGTTTTTCTCTATTTTTACCTCAAATGTGTGCTGAAAGTAGGGCTTTTTCGACTGTTGAAGTTCACGACAGCAGTGGTGTGGTGGTAGTTGTATTATGTTGAATGGTGTATCGATGATTTTGAATATTTAAAAGTGAACCCTTGTATCTGGTGTGAGARTAGTTCTGCAGTGTGCARTACAAGTGTTTRATTTAATGACTAAGTGACTTCAGCCCTTATATTTGGTGGGTGAATGGTTCTGTAGTGTGTAGTACAGGTGTTTGATGTAATGACTGAGTGATTTCAGCTTTAGTATTTTATGTGCAATGTGTATTTGAAGAAGTTGGYGGTGCTGAAAGTGAGATAAGTTTTGTGGAAGTGCGTGAGGTTGTGTTGCATATTTGAAGGTGTATTAGTTAAGATGGCATCGATTGGTGATGGGAATGACAACAAAACCGGCGTTGTGCTTTCTCTAGACTACCTAAATGTTCAAATGACATCTATTAAGTTGAATGGTGAGAATTATGTGCCGTGGGCAAAATCTGTGGAAGTGTTCTTAAAGTTCAAGAGAAGGGTAAAACATGTGAGAGAGGAGAAACCTTCCTCTGATTCTCCGGGGTTCAATGATTGGGAACAAGAAGATGCACAGATAATGACATGGCTATGGAATAGCATGGAACAAAAAATTAGAGTGAACTTTATGTTCCTAGATACAACTAAAGAAATCTGGGATCATGCTAAGAAGCTATACTCCGGACAAGACAATACAACTAAGGTGTATCAGTTGTACCGAGAGTAGTTTAATCTGAAGCAAGTCAGTCAAAGCTTGGAGGAATACTATGCAAGTCTGAGGAATATCCGAAATGAGTTCAATGTGTATCATCCTCTGACATCGGATGTTCAAATTCAACAACAACAGCGTGAGCAACTTGAAGTGACAAGGTTTCTGGTGGGTTTGAAGGCTGAGTATGAGCCTGTCCGAGCACAAATACTGGGGGGGTCTGCTCTTCCCTCACTTGAAGAAGTTTTTGCCCGTCTTAAGAGGACATCTGTTGAGTCTGTAGAGCATTCCTCTCTCTTGGACAGATCTGGTTTCGTGGTGACTAAAGGGGGTGGCCGTGGAAATAGAGGTGGTGGTGGTGGTAGTGGACCTCTAGGTAATCGTGGTGGTCCCATGTTTAACCGTGCTGGTGGCCGGAGTGGAGGTCGAGACTCAAGGGGAGGTCGTGGTAAAGGAAGAAGTAATGCCCCTAGGAAGTGTACACATTGTGGTTTAGAGGGGCACACGGTTAACTTCTGCTATGATTTACGTGGTCCACCCAACACTTGGGCTAACCATGCTATGACTAAAGGAAGTGGTACAACTACTAAAAGTCAGCAAACTGACCCGATCCTCTCCACATCTACTGATGCTTCTAGCAAGGAGATGGTGAGTGTACCCCGTGCAGTATATGAGTAGTTCCTTCAGACATCTCAGCAGAACACCGCTACCCTTGCCCATTCAGGTATGGCTTGTTTAGCTTCCAACCCTCCACACTGGATCATTGACTCCGGAGCCTCGGACCATATGTCTGGGACTCCTAATGTATTTTCTTCTCTTTTCGGCCTTCCACATCTCAAACAGTTACACTTGCTAATGGTTTTACATCTCCCATTTGTGGTGTTGGTGATGTTGATCTCTCCTTGTCTTTATCATCTGTTTTATATGTTCCCAAGTTCCCCTTTAACCTTATGTCTGTTAGTAAATTAACCAAATCTCTTAACTGTTCCATAACCTTTTATCCCTCTTCTTGTGTGTTTTAGGATCTCAAGATGGGGATGAAGATTGGTGGAGGGCATGAGGCAGGTAGATTGTATTACCTTGATGGTGGTGGCCCTCCAGTAGCTTTTCAGTCATCTCTTACTCCTTTTCAATGGCACTGCAGACTTGGTCATCCTTCTCTCAAGGTTCTGAAGTTGTTGGTTCCTTCCTTGAGTCATCTTTTATCTTTGGATTGTGAGTCATGTCAGCTTGGGAAACATCATAGAGTCTCTTTTAGTCCAAGAGTTGATAGTCGTGTCTCGAGTCATTTTTCTTTAGTTCATTCTGATGTTTGGGGTCCAATCAAAGTGCATACAATGGCTATAAGTATTTTGTAATTTTTGTTGATGACTTTTCAAGGATGACATGGATTTATCTTATGAAAGATTGCAGTGAATTGTTTTCTATCTTTCAAAAATTTCATGCTGAAATACGCACCCAATTTGGTGTTCATATTAAAATTCTTCGCTCCGATAATGCCAAAGAGTACACCTCAACATCATTTCAGCAATACTTAGAGCACCATGGGATAATTCATCAAACTTCTTGTGCCTACACCCCACAACAGAACGGTGTAGCTGAACGGAAAAATCGACATCCCCTTGAAACTGCTCGGTCCTTGATGCCCAATATGAATGTCCCAAAGCATTTTTGGAGTGATGCTGTCCTCACATCCTGTTTTCTGATCAATCGGATGCCCATGTCCATCCTTGGAAGTCAATCCCCCTTCTCGGTGTTGTTTCCCACATTGTCTTCATTTCCTCTCACCCCAAGAGTCTTTGGATGTGTTTGTTTTGTTCAATACTTGGGGCCTGGTTTGGACAAGTTAGATGCACGAGCTACTAAGTATCTTTCTTGGCTATTCGAGGACTCAGAAAGGGTATAAGTGCTATAACCCTAAATTCCATAAGTCATTTGTGTGCTTTGATGTCACCTTCTTTGAATCAGTTCCCTTCTTCTCCTTCCTCCGTGGTTCCTCTTCCCGTCCCTGTTGCGGATCCCCTTCCCGTGGCTCCCATTCTTGTTGCAGATTCCCCTTCCATGCCAGTTACTACTGAGAGGCCTCCAATCACACAAGTGTATACCCATAGAAGAGCACTGGCTCCTCCTTCAATTCAGCCCTCGTCGACAGATCCTGCCATTGCTTCTTCTCCATCAGATCTTGATCTTCCTATTGCCATGCGGAAAGGTAAACGCACTTGTACTTCTCATCCTATTTCATACTATGTTTCAGCTGCTCTTCTGTCTGCTTCTCATCGCAACTTTATATCATTGCTGTCATCTATTTCCATTCCCAAGACTGTCCAGGAAGCCCTTACCTCACCAGGGTGGCAGCAAGCCATGGAAGAGGAACTCTCTGCTCTACAACACAATCACACATGGGAACTCATTGCTCTTTCTCTTGGTAAGCATGTTGTTGGGTGTAAGTGGGCCTACACAGTGAAGTATCTTCCAGATGGCAGTGTGGAACGATTGAAGGCTAGGTTAGTGGCCAAGGGCTATTCTCAATTGTATGGTGTGGACTATATGGAGACATTTTCTCCTGTGGCTAAGATTGGTTCAGTTCGGGTGTTGATTTCATTAGCCGCTATGTATGATTGGCCTCTTGTACAACTTGACATAAAAATGCTTTCCTACATGGTGATCTCATTGAGGAAGTATATATGGAGCAACCACCAGGGTTTGTTGCTCAGGAGGAGGATGGTAAGGTTTATAGACTCAAAAAGGCAATTTATGGACTGAAACAATCTCCACGTGCTTGGTTTGGCAGGTTCAGTGAAGTGGTGAAAGACTTTGGGATGAAACAGTGTCAGGTAGACCATTCTGTGTTCAGCCATGACTCAAAAGATGGGAAAATCTTGCTAGTGGTGTATGTGGATGATATTGTCATAACTGGGAGTGACAGTAACGGAGTCAACAGGTTGAAGAAATTCCTACAGGACCACTTCAATACGAAAGATTTGGGTAAGCTAAAGTACTTCCTAGGAATAGAGGTTGCAAGGTCAGAACATGGAATTAACTTATGTCAGAGAAAATATGTTCTCGACCTACTTGAAGAAACAGGGCTGTTAGGTGCTAAACCAGCAGACTCCTATGGAATTCAATGCCAAGTTGAGTGTTGATGCAGGTGAAGAGTTTGATGATCCTGGAAGATATAGGAGGTTGGTGGTAGGGCTGTTCATAAGAAGGCCCAACCCGACCAAACCAACCAACCCGGACCGACCCAACCCGAGTTGGCCGGGTTTTCATAAGCACCGGTTGGTTTCGGGTTGTACAAATTCATAAACCGATGGTTCGGGTCGGTTTCGGTTTTCTTGTGTGAAAACCGAAACCGACCCGAACCGAATTGACTTAGTTCATAGTTAACTAAGTTGCCTCTATCCTAATTCCTAATTACAACCTAACCTAGTCTTCTAGTTCCTATTTAACTAACTTTTCTCTATCATAGTTTCTATAGTCTTTTACAGCAGTAATGCCAGTCATCAATAGTAAAAAATCCCTTTCATTGCTTGCCTACCAAACACGTTCACCTTTGAATCAGATTGGGGGGCGGGAAGAGGATATTGGAAGATGTTGCTATAGGGATGGACAAAGTCATCTTTGAATTAGATGTAGTAGTCATAATTATCAAAAAAAAAAATTAGATGTAGTAGTCATTGTTGAGGGGTTAAAATGATCCCCTAATTTTTTTCTACTTGAGATATTAAATTTCTCTCTCTGTCAAAAGGAGCTAAAAATGTAGCAGGCAGGAGTGTGACCGACTGAATGGAGCAGTCCATTCCATCACCCCCAGCCCAAAAATAAATAAATAAATAAATCAACAAAAGTTTTCTACATTATCACTTAGTCTTACATAGGGTTGCTAAGCATTGTCCAAGGGATCTGGTTCCCGGTTAAGTCTGCAGCTCCTGTCTTTGAGTAAATTTTTTTATGTAAGTTGTTACTTTTGCACTCCAGTCTTCTACTTTGTTCTTTTTGATTGATAGTATAGTCTTCTTCTATGGAATCTTGTAATCTCTGTACTTTCCAGAGATATGTGCATTCATGTTTCTACATACTTTATATAAATAAAGATTATCTTCTGCATGTTGGACATTATTATTTGCATTGTATTGCAATATTAGTACATATAACTATAGTAGTTCAGTATGAGATATTGGCAATTGAGGGAAGTGGCATGATAGTTATTTAAAAGAAGGAAAGAATAAAGCATAGCATGCCTGGCATTTGCAATTCAACAGTTTTCGTAACTGGAGGATTTATGGTCTATGGATTTTACATATTACAGATTCTAGACCAACTTCTGCATAATCCTTCTAGTGCTCACTGGATTCCACCTCTTACCCCAATTAAAAAAATAAAAGACAGGTCTTCTATCAAATATTAGCTACCTTTCCATTCTTTTTGTTTCATTCACTTGTTCTTTCTTTTTTTCCCAGCTTAACTTAGATAGTACACCATCTAATTCAGAGGATAAGTACGACAAGGGAACACTGGTAGAGGTTAGCAGCAATGAAGAAGGTTTCCAAGGCGTTTGGTTCACTGCAACCATTGTCAAAGCATCAGGGAAGAATAAGTATACGGTTGAGTACCAAACCCTAATAACAGATAAGGGAAAACCCTTGAGAGAAGTGGCAGATACTGCACACATCAGGCCACTGCCTCCTGAAACAAAGGTTGACAGTTTCGGTCGATTTGAAGAAGTTGATGCTCTCTACAAAGATGGATGGTGGGTGGGTGTGATTTCCAAAGTTACTAGTAGATCAAAGTACATAGTTTACTTCAGGAACACAAACGAGGAATTGGAGTTTAAACATTCAGACCTGAGGGTTCATTACGACTGGATTGATGGAAAATGGGTCAGGGCTTCTAAGGTATGGTCTTTCAGCACTTGATTCTGATTTCTTTTAGCTGGATTTAATACTTCCATGCAATATAAAGACCTTTACCTCACACAATAATACTAATACCCCTGTTGACCTACATATGCAAACTCATCTCTTAAAAATTCCGAGGCATGAGATTAGGCATTTGACTTTTTTATGCCGTAAATTGATGAAGCAGCATAGTTGAACTTTTGTGATTTATTGACCCTGCTAGGATTTCATTCGTTCTTAGTTCTCTTCTTAAAAAGCAATATGCATAAATCCAACTGGATGTGTAAAAAAATGATTTTTTTGTCAGATATTAGATGTAAATTGTACACTCTTTATAAACATGTTTTTGTCAAATCAATGGCTTAGGTTGCTCTATTGTATATTCCTTTGCAAACTAAGTACCCTATAAACACCAATAGCAGAAATTATGATCTCGGTAACCACATAGAGGGGCTCTTAAATATACCGCCTAGATGATCTTAGCCTTTTTGAGTGCTTTTAATTTGGAAAAGACCTTTATTTTTGGATTATTATGTTCATCTAACAAATTTGACTCATGGCAAGTTGTATGCTTAATGCTTTCAGCTGCAATTGCAAAGATTATGAGTCTTTAAAGATCAAAGGAACAAAAGTTAATCATTATGTTTCTTTTTAGCAAAATTTGTCTTGTTCAACCTTTGTCGTTTTGTGCTTATAAAGGCTTGTAGCCTGTGCAGTCATAGTGTTGGCAATTTTGTGCCTACTGGCTCTTTAATTGCCAATGGACAAGGAAGATGCCATTACTCATGGCGTTTTACTTGAATTATAAACACTAACAAATAGAGAAATTAACTTCAATAAACTTTACTTATGGAAATTGTACTGGGATCATTTTCAGGCACTAGGGTTTTGAAGATGCCATCATCAAACAAAATCTGATAAAATTTGCTTCATGATGCAATGACGTGTGCCCTTCCATCTCGAGATTGATCTTTAACTGGTGTACATTCAGGGATTTGGTCAGTGATGAGGTGTCATTAATGTCATCTATCTTTGTATTGTCCTCGCAATTTGTATTGATATTGGGACTTGTCAAAAAAAAAAGTATTGAAATTGGTAGTTGCCTTGACTTACTGCAAATGTCTTTACACAGTCACAAACTAGCTTTTATACTTCTTTTGTATCTCTGCTTTCATTGAAGTAGTTCATGGTTTATATACATATTAAAATTTAAATAGAAACTGGCTGCTAAAGCTTTATTTCTTTGTAAGAGTGAGATTTTTCTCTCTCTCTCTCTCTTGTTTTTTTTTACTTTATTCAATATTCATAACTACTGTTGTAAGTTTTTGGTTTGATAGAAAATAAAAGAAACAGAAAGTGGAGGGAAAGTTATTAAAAAATCACTTTAAGAATTTTCCGTCAACTTTTTGTTTCTCTCATATTTTCTATTAAACCAAAAGCAGTATTAGTGATAAATTAGCAGGGACTTGTGCGATGCATGGGATTTGTTAAGCGAAAGTTAAACAATAGAAAACAGATAGGAGTATACAATTGTTTTATATTTTTAACTTTTAAATAATTAATAATTACTTATATTTTATATACTATTTTTAATATTTTTACAATACAAAAATAATAATTAATTTCAGCTAAGGTTGTTCAACAAACTGATGAATCCAATCAACTTGACTTGAGTTAGTCGATTTTTTAGTATTTTCGATCAATTTTGGTTCAACAATTTCCCAACCCAACCAGGTTGGATCAGTTTGCTTTAGCCATTTGTAAATTGACCAAAATGGAATGGCTCAACCATAGATATATATTAATATTTTATATTGTTCATATAATTTTTAAATACATGAAGGTGGTAAAATGATCATATTTCTTAGTCTAAAACATTTTATATGATAAATTTAATTTTTAAATTTATTTTTAATAATGCTATTGTATTTTTTAATTTAAATTTAATTTTTTTAGTTTGAATTTTTTGAATTGAGTGACCAAAATCGACCCAAATTGGTACAACCCGAGCTGGTTGATTTCACTAATGGTTAGTCGGTTTTGAGTGACCAACTCATTTGGTTGGCCAAAATGCCTATAACCGAACTGAACCAACTTGCGGACATTCTTAATTTCAGCTAAATTAGTATAACCTCTAATAAATAACAATAGTTTAATCTCTAATAATTATTGAAAATTTATAGTGAAAAAACATAATTATTGAAAATATATTGATAATGAAAATACAATACTAATAAAAAACAATAACTACAAAATTACAATAAATACTAAAAAATATATAAATTAGTCATAAATAGTGTAATCTCAAATAATAGTTTAATCTCTTATAAATAATTAAAAATTAACCAATGAATTATAACAAACATACAATAAGTACAATAAACTAAATTTAAAAAGTTAAACAACAGTAGTTTAATCTCTACTAATTATTAAAAATTTTCTGTTAAATAACAAAACAAAAATAGATTTATACATAATTATTAAAAATGTATTTATTACAAAAATGTATTATTTAATATATATAAATATATAATAAATATACGGGAGATGAGAAAATTTAAATGACTAACATCTAATTTAACAGTTCAGTGAGAAAGGAGATCGGTAACATCCCTGGTCGTTTCACAGAGATTTGGCAGGCAAAGAGACCAAAAGACTGGTTTGTCCATTATTTGCATCAAAACCCACTGAAAACTTGGTGTGATGACAAACCTAAAAGTGAGTTTATTCTTAATAATATAATGGAGGAGACCAAAGTGCTGCAACGTGAGTGGACCAATTTGCCCCTGCTTCATAGTAACCTCCCTCACCCTGATTTTTAGTCCAATAAGGTGAGAGACGATGGGAAGAAAAAAAACACTGATGAAGGAAGAGGATAGGAAAAAAATAAAAAAAAACCGAGGGATAGAGTAAACCATGAACCTATTATCTGGTGCGTCCAAAATAGTGAGGGAAGAAGGAAGAAATAGAGCAATATTTTTGTCAATGGAGTTTGTTTCCAGGGATAAAGAGAACTTTATCATCCAAATCCATTTCCAAAATGGTGAATGGGATTGGTTTCTACGGATAAAGAGAGCCTGTTTTTCACGATTAAGAGTTGTGAAGGGTTAAGTGGGTCAGTCCTGCTGAGGTGTCATTATGAGAAGAGAAGGGAGCGATGAGGTGGATTAATGAGAGAGCAAGGAAAGCTAAAATGAAAGGGCTATGAATTTATCTGAGTTTAATTACAAAGAATCTATTCTATATATCTAAAAGCTAAAGCACAATCATCAACTTCGGCATCCCCTCTCTCATTCTTTTTAGATATTTTTTGGTTTTTTAAATTTTTTGTTTTTTTTAAGAGAAAATTTCACTTTAATACCCTTGAGCTTTAGGGGTAGTGTCAAGTTAATACTTGGAACTTCCAAATGTATCGCTACAGTACCTAAATTTTTAAAAAGCGTCAAGTTAGTCCCTGCCATTAACTGGCCGTTAGTTATCTGTTGAAAATATTAAAACTACCCTTCAGCCTTGAGATTAAACTGATTGAGGTGTTTGAGATTCTGGACTAGGTACAATTCATGAGATTAACCTTGAAAGGAAACCCTAATTTTTTGTCAACTGTTGTTCTAATTCTAAAGAAAGGAAGCTTGGATTCAGGTTGGCTTTGTCGGCAATTGCTCGCTGTCGGTCTAGTAGATGTTCAGTGACCTACTTCAGATCTTCCGAGTAAACTCGAAATTGTGCCTTTCGAGCTATGATACTAAAACTACGCATGACCATTCCAATTTCCAAGAGAGGGAAAAATACCAAAATCAAGAGAGGGAAACAGCAAAACCAAAAGAAGAGACTTGTAAATGAAAAAAAAAAAATTTGTCCAAAAATACAAAAAATCCATTAGATTTTGTCCAGCAAATTCCTTTTTTTTTTCTTGTATTTAACTGTGCACATAAGTGATTTGTTGAATGAGTTTGCAGGATTATTTGTATAGTAAAATCGTTTTTACACAGAATAATACATTAAATTCATTACCCCAGAAGTGGGTTCTCTAGATTTTGTTTCAGAATTTGTATCAAGCTCATGTTCTTTTAATTTTCCGCAACTAGCCAGATTTCTGGTTTCGTAACTCAGGTTCGATGTTTTATTTTTGTTTCCAGGTCGTGTGAGAACTCTGGGAAGGGAGAAGGATATGGAAGGAAGAGGCCTGGTCTCATGGGTAAAGCTTTCAATGGGAAAGAGGCAATTTGTTGCAAACGATTGTAATTCCCCACGGTTTGCTTTAATTTGACCTTATTGATGATTCCGGAAGGATTGAAAGAGATTGGATTCAATAGAGCCAGAGATGGATAATTGTTTGACTACGTCGGTCCCGAAAGAGAAGATGAAGCTCTTTCTTCAGAAGGACGAGCAAAGAGGTGGAAAATGCTTCGGAGCAAGTCTGAAACTGAAACCCAGGAGTTCGAGTAGAATAAAAGGAAACATTGAGCTCTTTGGTTTCTGGTAACAGTTTTTTGGAGTAAACTATCAAAGAATAAAATCATCAACTATCGGTTCAGGAATTTAATGGAATTAAATTTAATTAAAATATTAATAAAAAAGAATTATGCCTCAGAAAGAAGGCCTCCAGGCCATACAAGTTACAGTGGCGATCGGGAATAAATAGAGAGGTTGAAACGAGAAGAAGAAGAAGAGATGAGAGGAGAAAGAGTGTGACAGAGGTGGGAGATGAAATAATGTAACACAATCCGGTCACTCCTAGTTGGCGCTCACGTGGCTCTTGAGATGTACTAGAAACGAGAGGAAGGAGGAAGAACTCCCGGGGGGTTTCCTGGTAGGAACGCTCCGATGCTTAAGTTAGTATTGTGTGCAAGAAGCTGAAAGAGAATGAACACTAAGAGTGCAGGTTAAACTGGTCATTCAAGATACCTTGCTCATTGAGAATAAGCTCCTTATAACTGAATTTTGTTGCTCCAGGCCCTCTGACTTCTGACAGGGCAGGTATAATCGCCACTGTCAGCCTGCCACAACCATTACAGGTAAGGGTGAGGTGGTACGCACGGGGCCGTCGTGCAGGGTACGTGTCTGTCAGGTGTGGGACGCCTTTCTAAAGGTGGCAGGCACAGCGAGGGGACATGCCTACTGTTCACAGGTTTGTCGGGTACGGCGGTCGGGCAGGAAGCCCTCCTATGGTATATCAAGCTGTCCTCCTGCGAATTGCCATGAGTTGGGCTGTCCTTTAAGTGACGGGCTGCCTGCAGCCGGTTATGCCGAGCTAGCCGACCCGAGGTCTTTGTGCCTCGGGGCGTCCGAAGAAGAATCGGTGCATTCTTGCTTGGGAGTGGCCCGAGGTCCATTGGGAGGAGCTCGGGTCTCAAAAGGGGTCAGGGGTCCCGAACTCGGGACCCCCCGAAGTGCCTTAACCCCGGGGAGGAGGTGCGGGCGAGGCGACTTTCGGCGAGTAGTTTACTTGCCGAGTTGCCGTGCTGAACTCGGTGGGACTTCCCCACCGAGTTGTGCCCACGTTCGTTGTGCTGTCATGCTGAGTCACTGTTTGAGCAAGGTCACGCCCACGTGTACCTGAGCTACGAGGTCGGGCCAAATCACCCTCCATCAATTGCCCCCACTCCCTGCGCTGGCGGCGGTGACCCAGCGCGGGGAGGTCATGACGCGCCGGGTGGATTTGGTGTTGGTGTTTGTGCTGCGTTGTCGCGCGTTCCGTCTAGCTGTACCGGTCTAGCGCCTGGCTCGACCAAAAAGGGATTCAAGTTGCGTCCGGATTACGCGCGGACTTCAAGCGACTTGGACTTTGCGGACGTCAAAGTCCGGTTGCGGCTATAAATAGGGGGTCCCTTGGCCATTTTCTTTGCCACAAAGCTTTCATCGTTAGTGTTTGAGCTCGCGCCAGGGGTTTCTTAGCTTGGGTCCTCCAGTTCGTTCTGTTCTTCCAGTCCGGTTGCGTTTCTTTGGTGAGTCCTCCCGAGCTTCCCTTTCCCTTCTAGTCTGTTTCTTTCTGTTAGTTCGGTATGTCGTCTAGTGTAGACAGTTTCATCGATGAGCCCGAGGTAGGTACCTCGGCTCGGGATGTTCCCTCTGCTACCCAGCCATCCGAAGCACGGGTGGCTTTGGGTCATCTGGCGTCCATCTCCCACCGAGGTTGGGAACCAGATCAGTTCGGGCCTTCCATAATGACCTCGGAGAGGCTTYAGGACCTCATACAGAGGTTCCGCCTCCTTAGCGAGTACTCATATAGTCTTCCCG